TAGATACATTAATCTTTCGGAATTTGAAGTTGAAATGTCTTTCATGTGTTTATTTAATGTTGCATGTAGCGCATACATTGGTGATACATGCCTATTAAACAATGGATTCAAATATTTGAATATCCGATTATCCGGTCATAGTTTGGTGATAATCGATTAATCGATTAAATGACAAATAATCGGTCAATATTTTTGTTCGTCTAATCGATTATCGTAATCAGTTGGTCATATCCGGATAATTTGACTACGGATTGAACGATTCGGATCTCTAAAAAAAACTCCAACGAAAATATAGAAAAAAAATTATTCGATCGTTGCAGCCCGATGCGTAAGAACCCGAAAGTATAAAAATCTGAAACGAATCGACTGCGCCTCTAGCACCTATTGTTTTTTATTTTTTTTTTCCTAAATGATCTCGCTTTTGTAAATCATAAGTTCTTTTAAAAGATCATAATAATATTATAATCTTCGCATAGTTATAAACTTGAAAATTGAAAGGTCAAACTTTTCTTTATTCGTTTAAAAAATTCGTCAATAATTCTTATTATCCGAATAATCCAGTGAATTTCATATAACTTACATTATTATACAGATACTTTTGTTAATTATTATGATGATTATTATTTGGCTTCTTAATTTTGAACTTACAGTATAGTACGATATGGGAATCGATTCAAAAAATGGAACCGATTAATTGCGTTTTATTGTTTCCTTTGATAAATCACTTGGAGACCTTCAATAATTATAAAAATTACTTAATATTTTATTCAGTTTATACTTCAATAAAAAAAAAATTTGAGTGTCAATAAACCAAGTAAAATTAACTAATTTCTGAATGTAACCATTTACAAAGTTCTTGCCAACAACATCATCATAACTTTGTGCGATGTGATATGCTTCTTTTCTATCAGAATCTGATAAGGCGTTTCATAATATAAAAAAATAAATTAGAGATTATTGAATGAACAATACATCCTTTTCCCATCACAGTCGTGACAACTCCTATAGCATCCATCCAATAGAAATTGAAATTGATTCCTACATTTACCATGATCTTCCAAATCATAAACTTGTCAATTTATTTGATATAGAATGGCAAAACTCTCGGGATTTGACGGGTACTTTGGCAAAACTATAATAAAATCTTATTGGTAAAACCGTCGTAACTCGAAACCATAATAAAATCCTGTCCAAAGTCAAAGCTAAATTGAAAGACTTATTAACAAATCTGTCGAAAATATAGGGTTCCGACTTTTGCCATTTGCTAAAGTGAGTTTTGCGCCAGGCAACTATAGTGTAGAAGAACTTAGGAACAAGAATTCATATGATATGCCCAAGAATCTAGATCTCGATTAATACTATCCCCCTTGTACCTAATCACTCCAGTTCATCAACAACTTCAGAATATGCGTTACGCATGATAAAGTTTGTATTCTTAACCGATAAATGTCCCAAACAACTTTCCTGCTCTATTAATAATTACGACATGACGCGCAATTCCCATATAAAATTCGTACCTACCGTGCTTTTAACGAAAAGTTACTGCTGCTGTTAAATTATTCACGATAAGATGTAAATTTTCAATAATTGGTAAGGGAAAGGTCCGGAAGATTTGATTGCGTGTTAAAATAACTAATGTAACATTGAATTACGTATGCTACTATCGTTAAAAAACAATTCTTAACAACTTCAGACAGGTTGAATATTACGTCTGCGAACATTTTTTTTTCTGTCGAGTTAGGTAGGGTTGGGTAAAATATGTTTTGTATAAAGTTACCTAGATATAAAAATTATAAAGGAAAAAAAAATTGATATTTGTGAAATTAAAAAAAACTATAATTTTTATCCTTTAAAACACTTATTTTTGTTTCACCAATACATATTAAATATATATTTTTATCAGAAGCATATCGGACAAAGTCATTAAACGTCGTTCGAATAAAATGAAAAAGTGTTCTAAAATGGTTAACTTGTCTGTTAAAAATATTTTTAAAAAAATAAAATGTCTGATACAAAAGACCATACTACGATCTTACTTTTATAAATATTCTTGTGAAATAGATAAGGCGGTTAGTTTTCTCAATACTTGCAAAACGCTTAAGGCGAAACTTGACTTTATGTTATGTTCTAATTTACTAATGAACATCAAAGGTAAGCATTTGTGTAGCAATAATTGGTCAACACAAACTTCAAATCTATACTGTGACATTAATATTGAATATCTCTAAGAAAATTTCGATAGGTGGTAAAATCGAAACCAGTTTTGATGCATTGCAAATTTTTTTTTAAAGGCAAAACCGCGAAAGTTTCGACGGGTGGCAAAAATTTTGTCTGGTAAATATTGTGATAGGGAGCAAAATTTTGATAGATTAAAACCATTAATATTAATTTGAAATTTTAATTATATAAAAGATAAATTTATAAATACTAATAAGCAGGCTTAATGTTCGAAAAAATAACACTTTATTAAATAAAAAAAAAAATGTAAATATATGTAATCTAAATTAAGTTCATTAATTCCAACTACTGTATATCACAAATTTCCCAATTGTTATTTTCTAGTTCCATAAATAATGTATTATTTTGAAAACTTGTTTCTAATTTAGAACTACATTCATCCAAATTTTCATTATCCTGAAATTATAATCCTTTTTGATAGAATACAGCTAATCCAGCACAACCGCCCTAAAGCCTTTTTAATTTGAATCTTCATTATTGAATAAAAATAAGAAAATTTATTTAAGTTCTTTTATAATCTACGATTGTATTGCAATCCAACCTGTCAAATTTTGTTGTCAGAAATTATCGAAATCGTCAAAATCCGACAAAATCTAGGGATTTTAAATTGCTTCAACAAAGTATATTTAAACTGATTATTAGCACAAGCCTTTTCAACTAGCTTTAATATTCTTTTAAACGTGCTTTGAGCTTGCTTAACACGTTTGTTAATTTGAGCTTTAAAAAGAATATATATAGCGCGTTTGATCAAAATAGCTCTATGAAGCAGATATTATTCGAATAATCAATAAAATTTCAATAAATAATAAATATGTATTTAAAATTTACAATCATTAAATAATTTTAAAATAGAAATTGATTCAACATATATTCCATCATAAATAATATTGACATAAAAAAAATACTCCAATAAAATCTGATAAAGATTTATTATACAATAAAATAGATAAGCGAGCTTACATTAACCTGCTTATGTAAATCAAGTATAACTATATAATACATCTGTGTTTAACTAATATAGTAAGCTCAATCGCTCAGAAGCTTATTTTCTCAAAAAATCTCAAGCTTAAAGCTGTATTGAGCCGAACTTAAGCTGAACTGGTTTAGCAATTTAACATCCCTATCAAAATCCATCGAAATTATCGAAACCTGTCAAAACAAATCTAAATTGTCAAACCGTCGAAACCCATCGAAATTGTCGAAACCCGTCGAAACTGTCAAAATTATCTTTAAAAGTTTCGACTTTTGCCAAAATTGTTTTTGTCCCGCAACCTTTAATATCTCAACTTCTCACACTCAGAGGGAAAAGAAAATTTTCGGAAGAGTGTAAGGAAATATAAATTAACGCTTTTTTGATTCATTTTCTCGTTCTCTCAAATTTTTTATTTGATTAATTAGCACATTCTCGCTACCCAATAAAAATAAATTTACTGTAAGCAGTATCATTATTCCGTGGGAAAATAAGAATGTTTATTGCGTGGACCCGGCTGAAAAAACCAAATTATTGAATTATTTGTGAGGTAAATACACAGACCACGTGCTTCTGCGAGCGTCAAGCAATGGATCAGCTATAAGAAAAAGGTAACATTTGCATTTAATAAGCACGTAGTGGGGTGTTCCATCAACTATGTAAATCATAACATTGTTAAATATCATATAAAAATTTACTATTAAAGATTTTTTTTTTTTTGTAATTCTGATAGATTAAATTTCTTTATAACTAGGGAAACGGGAACCGTTGATAAGTCCGGAACGATAACTAAAAAAAAAAATACACACTGATTTGCTTTATCTAGGATTTTGTGAATTACAAAAGCCAATCAGCATTGACTCAATTATTGAGCGGGCGGACACCGGAACATTTTTTTCGTCGTATATAGTCCTACACCTCACTAATCTATACATTTTTAGACTTTAATAATCTTATTATTTTCGCTCCAAATTTTGCAAAACCATTCTAAATTATTGTCTCTTTCATGTAAAAGCTCGTTTTTTCCAAAAAATATATTATTACGCTTCAAGAAATAAAAACATTTTTGTAAATAAAAATTTTTTCTTTGTTTTTTTCAAGAAAGCGAGGTGTCAAACTTTTTTCAAGTTATAATGTATTCATTTACAGTTTTAATTTTGTCTGAATGCTAACATTTACCGAAGCTAATAAACTTTAAAGATTTAGGATTTTATTAGGAAAAATCGTAATAGTAGCAAATAATTAGGTTTGACATATATGCTTCACAAATCTTTAATAGTAAATTTTTATGTTACTTAATAATGTTTTACTATTGCGTTTCTTGAGTATTATTATTCATATTTTTCCATTCTGCAAAATAGTTTGCCTTTGGTTATTTATCTGACATTTGGACAACTGTTGGCAGCGATATTAGGCGAGAACTTGTTACATATATGTAAAATAGCGATCATTAGTGATTTTTGTGATATTTAAAAGCCGATTCTCTATTCAATATTAGAATTTTTGGAAATTAAGCTTATTTTTAGCCAAAGAATCGAATAATGTCATTTATTTTAATGTAGCTATTCTAGTTTTAATACTATAAAAAAATTTAACTTTTATGCAACACTCCATATATAACTAAAACATAAATTTAATTTTTTTATTTAACAAAAGCTATTTTTTATTTATGAAAAATCTAATTTGTTTTGACATGGATGACCTCTATGACATTTGCTTTCACAATTTCTTTCAACCTTATTAAAATGACATTTATTGCTATTACAGTTACTTTTACAATTGCAAATAGCACCTATGACTGGTCCAATACTTTGAAGATGTGCGGCTTCTATGATAGAAATCTTGTTAGAAGGCAAATTGTCAAGCTCAGGAAAGTGTATTGCGCGCCAAATCGTTCAATCTCTCCTGGTGGTAATAATCCCGAATTTTGATCCTAAAACACATTGGTAATTTCTATAATTTTGCATGGGTGAGTATGTCTGTCAATATCAAAATGATCTATTTTTGGAATTACTAAATCTTTCACTTCAAATCCATTTGACTTATTCATCAGATTAGCCATCTTGTCTGAAGGTCCTGACGAGCTGCTTTTCTTAAAATATTATGACCTGTAGGTGTAACTTCATTTTTTATAGCTGTATTTTGATGTAACAAGAATTAGATAAATAGGAATTGGATGATATGAAATTTTGTGGTATGATTATTTTCATCTAAATTGTAAGTATCATATTAAATTTGTGTTGAGTTTATTGTTTCAATGATATTAATATTAATACAATCATACTCTCTTCCTTCTATTTTGTCTACATTTTATATTATTGATGACGGAGGAATAAAAACTGATGGTAAAAGAATAGATGCAGAAAAATTAATGATAAAGAAGCAGAATTTAATAATAAAAAAATAGAAGTAAGGCATAGAAATTAATAATAAAGATGCTAAAATTGATGATGATAATATGGTGAAAGAGTAGGTATAGGTAAAAACATGAAAATTGATGATAAAAATGCAGAATTAAATAATGAAAAAATAGGAATAGTAAAGTGTAGAAATCAATGATAAAAGTGCTAAAATTGATGTTGATGAAGTAGGAGCTAATAGTAAAATAGTAGAATTTAAAAATGAGTTTAAAATATGTATTACAGATGTTAATCAAATTATGCAAACACTTTTTTTACCAGAATTATGCAGATCATTATATGATTACACGATATGCTTATCATATGATTTTTTATTTAATATTACAATAAACAAATTTATAAAGTTTTAGCCTTTTCATTTTTAGTATAAAATTATTGAGTTACTTATCCTAAACCCTGTAATATTATTATTTATAGTAAAAATTGTAACAATCTAATTGTTATATATTTTTTTAATAAAAAAATTAACTTACTTGTAACTAAAGTTTGAGGTAGTAGGATACTTATGATTGCTGCTATATGATTTACTTCTATAATCAGTTATATGATTTGATTAATTAAATTAATAAAGTTATCAAAGTTAATTAATTTTATAAAGTAATTATTATTATTATATTTATTATTTATAATATTTATTATTAATATTTTAACTAAAGATTGAAACTGATTAAAACTTCTTTAACCAGTATTCGTCACAAATTTTATTATGCTTTAAATGACTTTATATTACAATAACTATTATAAATATGATATATATATAACTTATTAATTATACTAAACATATAATGTATATAATATATATAATATTTGAATTGCTTTGTTAAAATTTATCTCATAATTTACTTTTATTATATATATTATATAATTTATTTTTTATTGTTATATTTAGGATCATTTTATACATTTTTATGAGTAAAAAAATTTAATTTTAAGCAAGTTATTAAAGTAATAGCAAATTGTTTGATCTTTTTCATTTTTTTAAGTTCTTTGCCTAAAATATTTCAATCAGACAATAAAAAAAATTTATTACTGCAATAATAAAATAAATAATCAGTTTATAATTAATAGTAAATAATTAATAGTTACGCATATCATTCATAAAGTTAAGATTTTATAGAAAGGCAAATGGAATTTTAGAAAATATAGGAAAAGATGATTAGTCTTTGAATTTTGCTCAATTATTTAATTATAAACTATTTATATTACTATTCTTGTAAAAAAAACTCTTTATAAGCTTATATTTAATAATAAGCTTTACAGAGATTTTATTTTAATTAAAGATCTATTTAGTAAAGATATTTATAATTCTTAAAATAGTTAT